GAAGAAGGAGGAGGAGGAGGAGGAGGAGGAGGAGGAGGAGGAGGAGGGAGAGTTTTGGAAATGAGGCTGAGTTTGGTCATGGAAGTATCTAAGAGGGGTTAGTAACTGACTTTCTGTGAGATGAGTAACAAAAAACCTATTCATTATCTTCTGGTAGGGGCAGACTGCTCAGAAAACATCAAGTCCATTTTGTCCAAATTGGACAGTATTTATTAAGCTGTCCAAACAGCAAATGCTCCCCACAGGACCCATACCTGTCTCTGCAAGGAACAGCATGGAGCCTGAGCATTTCAGGGTTTTCAAAGGAAAAAACCACATCCAGGTTGAAGTATCTGCAAGCAAGCAGGGGTACCAAAGCTGAATTGAGCAGTTAGCAAAATAATGCAATGGGTACATTGATATTTCCCATGAGACTTTCCAGATTGACATACCAGAAAGCAAGTAGAAGGGAAGTGGGTCAAAATGACCCTAGTTGAGTACAAGTTTGAGAATGGTTATTAGCATCCAGACAATCAAACTCTGACAGGGTACAATATCCAAGAAAAATGGAAACCAAAGAGAGAACAATTTTACATTGTATAAGAATTGCCATTTTGTGTTGCTAAACATGCTATGAAGAACGCCTATGGATAGGTATAGAGGTAGGGAGTACCCAGGGGAGATGCATTTCTTATATGACATGGAGTCTTGGGGTAAAATGGAGACTGTTTTGTCATTGCCCATATATCCTGGCCCATAAAACCCTCCCCCACTGATTCTAAAGAGTTTTCTTTCAGATTTAAACATTCTTTTGATTGAGTTCTTTGAGGGGGACTACTTTTAAGCCTCACTGATGTAGAACTTTGTGTGAAAAGAAAGACACTTATGCACAATTCATGTAAAACACAGGGAAGTACAAGAAAAAGGTAAAATGAAGTCGCTGGTTGATTAATATATGGTATACCTTCTGATCCTGTAAATAACCACATGATGAATTACTATTCCCTCCTTCCATTGGAAAAAGCAGAGGCACAAGAAAGTTGAGTGTTTTGCCCTAGGTTTGATGCAAAACAGTGACAGAGCCTGGATTTGAGCTCCCAGATCAGCACCAATGTTGCTACCTTTTCCAACTCAGAAGTTCCTCTGCCCTGTGAGGTATATACGGAAAGGAAATTGAAGGTAAAAGCTTCTACTATCAGAGACTTAGAAATAGCAATTTGTACTTTTTTATAATAGAATATGCAAAATTTTGAAACAACAAGTAAAACAAGTCTATGAAAGATAGAACACAGAATAGTAGTAGGTAGAGGACAATGGATAAGACTCCAGACCAGAACATCTACCTGGCTCTGCAAAAGCACCAGTCAGTGCACAAGCAATTAACACAGGAAAAGAGGATCTGAGGAAAAGATGGCAGGAGCCCCTGGGCATTAAGGGCTAAATGAAGAAGTTATAGTTCTCTCTTGGTTACTGTCAAGGAACTGTCTTCCTCATTGGCCTGATAAGGATATGGAGGAGAACCACAACCTCTATCATATTCCCTCAGGGTTCCTATATCTTTTATTAATGCCACTAGACATGATTTTTTAACTCCATATGTACTTTTTATTTTGTCTCCTTTATCAAACTCAAATCTCCAAAATGTCTAGACTTGCTGGGTTTTGTCATTGTTGGTCACTATTGTATCCCCCAGCATCTAGCACAAGTCTTACAGAGACTAATTATTGTAACATCCACATTTGTCACAGGAAGGACCTGAAACATAATGAACACAAAATATTTTAATCACATGGCAAAGAGCAAGTCCAACACCAGCCCTAATCTCAGAACCCTCTCCAGTATTTTTGCAGTCTTCCTATCTCATCATACACTATATTAGGAACTCCCAAGAAAATATTTCTTGAATGATGGAATATTAAAATGCAAAGGAGAAGCTGGGTGCAGGGAGCATGCCTGTAATCCCAGCATCTTCAGAGATTGACATGGGAGGATCAGGAACTGAAAATCAGTCTCACCAAAAGTGAGGCAATAAGCAACTCAGTGAGACCTGTATCTAAATAAAATACAAAATAGGGCTGAGATTGTGGCTCAGTGGTTGAGTGCCCCTTAGTTCAATCCCTGATACCAAAAAAATAAATAAAATGCAAAACAGAATCATGGTTTAGAAACTATTATTGCTCGGGTTATACTTCTCCTTTATCACTAAATGGGAGAGTTTTAGACCCTAGAAAGGACTGCAATCTCAACCTTCCTTGATGGTGTTGGCACCATATGACTAGGGACTGGCCAGTGGGAGATGAGTATAAGTGCCCCAACTCTTGGATTGTGCTCTCCCTGCTCCTTTTCCTCCAATGTGGAGCACTGTGTGGCTGGAAGCCAGGTACGATCAAGAGGATGAAAGGATATTTCTAGGAATGATGAGGTTACCAAACCAAAAAGACTCTGGTGTTGAATATCTTGGAACCCCACTCCCACTCTAATAAGCGTTTTGGTTTAAGTATCTATGATTATGGGTATTTCTTTTACTAGCAGTTGTAATTCACCTAAAATATTTATAAATACCCATGTACCTTCTACTTTTTAAAACTACATATGATTCTTTTGTGTTTTGTTTTCGGTTGTTTTTATTAGTGCATTGTAGCTATATATAATATAGGGGTTCATTTTGACAATGATACAAACACGGAAAACAGTTTGCTCCAATTCAGTCCCTTGTACTTACCCTTTCCCTCCCCTCCTTGCTCTCCCTGTTCCCTTTCCTCTATTCAACCTGTCTTTCTTGTAGTTATTTATAGTTTTTATTTCCATTAGTGCATAATAGATATAAATAAAGGTGAAATTCACTGTAATATGTTCATATATGTACATGAGAGAGTTTGGTTAGTTTCATTCCATCACTCCTCTGTCTCCCAAACCCCCTTTCTCTTCTTCATTGATCTTTTATTTTCACTGCTTCTCATTCTTAAGTAACTTCTAATTTTAGTGAGAGATTATGTGATTTGTCTGGTCACTGGTGTGGTTGAGTTGTCACTCAACTACCTCAATCGTGTGGGGTAGAGACGCAGAGTCAACACACAGACACTGGGAGCTGGTGAGAGCGCTGGCAGGTGACAACCTCAGCCGACCTCCAGCAAGCTCGTTTATTTCAGAAATGAGTACAGCTGGTATAGGGCTCAGGTAGGGCATGTCTGCCAATCATACATAAGCAAAACAGCATCTAGAAGCCAATCATCTTATGACTAATGTAACCACACTATGAGGAAGCTCTAAATATTGCTACATGATGGAAAGCAGTCTGGAAGGATCTTTGTCCCTAGGGGAGGGGGCCTTATAAGTCAGGGATTTCATGCTGTGTAGCACTTGACTCTCATTTTCCTGGCCTGGTAGCTTGGTAACACGAACCTCAAGCACTGAGCATGTGGTTTCACTGACTGCTCACTAGAGCAGAGCGCTCCACCCTGCACGTGTTCCTGTCAGGCCTGAATGGGCATAGAATTTTCAAGCACTCCAAGTTGCTCCTAGCTGCTAGCTGTAAACCAAAAGTTACTCCAACAAGATTATTCAAAGGATATGACACAGATAAGGAGATTAGAACAAACAAAAGTCAAGCAAACAGGGAGGTGACGCAATGAAAACTTATCCAATCACATTGGGATAATGAAGGTCTCAGAAAATACAAATAGTGTGGAGGCTATCAGAGGAAATAGGTCTTTCACATTTTCCAGCAACATTGCATGTCTTCTCTTCCTTCCCTTCTTCTGAATTCTGGGAAGAGATACATTTATGCTTAATTAATAAGATTTATTTGCTCTGCCTCCTGATTACACTTAGCCAAAGTGATATATTGAAAGAAGATTGGACAGCAAGGGGACAGGAAATTGGCCTATTTAATTTTCTTTCTGTCTCTTGTTAGACTATAGGTTGGCAATGACAATGTAACTGTACCACAGGACATACATCCATCTAATGGCCATTTATTAAAACCAAAGATACAACAATAGTTATGGTTTCAACCAGCTCTTAATTCTGATAACGTTTTTCCCATTGTCTTTTAAAACCTAGTGATGTTAAACTCTCCAAACCTTTATTTTCCTTGTTGGTGAGAGGATTTCACCATCCTATGTAACTTTCCCTAAACCCACCCAAGTATTAGATCAGGTATTTCATAGTGACATGCTGACATATATACAAAGGAAAGGAAACTTTGTAAAGCAAGTAAAACAGGTGAGAGATGTCTTCACAGCACTTTGTTTGGGGGAATATGCATGTACACTATCTTGCTTCCTAAGGAGTGAAGCATATTTTCCACAATGTCAGCAATTTGAGTAAATGGAATAAAGTTCAGCTGGGGAGATTAAGGAAGAAGGAACAGTTTTGATTCACAGCTCCCATATATCCCACAGACAAGACTGCTATCAGCCAAATTTGCCAGGAGGGATGTCGCCTATCTCTTCCTCTTGGAGTCCTTGTGGTTCCTGGATGCTCCATCCCAAGGTGAAGGGATGTGGTTTTGAACTAAAAGAAAAAAAATACAACTGAGACATTAGAAATAATCTCTTAAAAAGGCTTACCTTTCCTCCATTCTTCTTACTGGAGGTGGTAATCTGTCCTGTGCTAAGGGAAAAACTGGGTTAAAAGTCTCTACAGGATACTTCTCAACCCTGCCAAGGTCACTGCAAGAGTGAAATCTGATGATCAAGTGAAGCCTATCGAGATGCTGGATGCAGCCTCGTGGTTTCCTGTCCTGGGACCTACTGGCCAGTGAGAGTGTAGAGTATATACCCAGTCAGGTCTCCTCCCATACAAATGATTTTGACCTCTATTTAGTGGTCGCAGAGATCAAACCCAGCCCCTTTATCATACTAGGAAAGCACTCTACCTCTGAGCCAAACCCCAACCCCTATTTTGGAACATCATGCTGCCAGCTGGCCAGCAATGACAAACAGTGTGAGCTTCCGGTAGGATCCTGTGTAACCAAGAATGAAGCACTTTTTAAAATGTTTTTTATTTATTGTTTAAGGACCTCCATGGCCTTGTCTATAAATTTTCTTTAGCATAGCAGCTACACGTTTGTTTACATATTTTTTCCACTTGAGACAGAAGTTCACCAGACCAAAGGTAAAAGTCTTCCTGGGTTTTATTCTACAGAGTAAACAACTTGTTTAAGTGTTGTTTTAAATTTCATATTAGTCATGATTTCAGATTCGAATAGTTGTGAGCTCACTTGGTCCAGCTGAAGCCCACTGAAAAGCTGAGGAGGGTGTAACGACAGAGTCAAAAAGAGACCTCCAGAGACC